TTTCTAGTTTCCTTCAAAATCTATAAAACATTTCACCCTCTTCCAATACCAACAAATCCAAGCTATTTTCATTCTTGGCTTCAAGATTGAAAGGTTTTACTTACGACATTTTTATATTTCAGTTTTAATATTAATAATTTAATATAGTGTCCATTTTAGAAAAAGCTAGGTAACAAGTATTTCCGAAAAAAATCTGAAATAATTTGTATTTCATAAAATCGTAAGTAGCATTGATATATAGCTAGAGACAGGTATTGCCATCGAGTCCCTCTCACTCATGGTGACCTTACGTGCAACAGAATGAACGTTGCCTGGTCCTCAGTCATCCTTACAATCTACAGCAAGTTTGAGTCCATTGTTGCAGCTATTGTGCCAATGCATCTCACCAAAGGTCTCCGTTACCCTCACTGGCTCTCTACTTCACCAGACATGATATCCCCATCCAATGGTTTATCCCTCCTGATGATGTTGTGTCCAAAGTAAGCGAGTCAGGCAGTGTTCTGTTGTGATCCGTAAGGTTTTCTTTGGAAAATTTTCAGCTGTAGATTATCAGGCTTTTCTTCCTAGTCTGTCTTAGTGTGGAAGCTCTTCTGAAACCTGTCCACCATGGGTGACCCTCCTGGTATTTGAAATACCAGTGGCATAGCATCCAGCATCACAGCAACACGCAAGCCACCACAGTGTGACAAACTGACAGACAGTTGGTGGAACTTTGATCTATAGCGTACTTTATACAGCATAAATTGATCATTTGATGATTTTGAAAATTTTGCCCTATATGCTTCAACAATCATTTTCCTTATCTAATCCCTGAAGGTTAGGGAGTTTTAATAATATTTAAACTAACTTTGCATTTGGAGAAAATAAACATAAGAAATATTTGGTGACTCGAACCAGATCACGCAGTATATATAAATTGGAACTTATAGATTCTTACCTCAGTTGTTGCTGCCACTGTAGAAACAAAATTTCTGCATTTACAGAGAAAACATATTATTTCATAGTAAGAAGGTAAACAAGAGAACAGAGTTCATGTCAAGCCTTGGTGCTTTGGTTTTAACTGAAAACAAATATAAATAATCATCATTATTATAAACACTTTTAATTATCAAGAAAATGGTTCAATTCTATATTATTCAGAATTGAAATAGCTAAACCGAGAATCCTCCAGCTAACTTCTGATAAAGGAGAAAGAGGTGTAATTGCCATGGAGTTTATGGAGAGACATTCATCACTTCTTCCCTTCTATGTCCTATGAGCGAACCCTCCAGAGATCCAGAAGGGAGAAAACCTCTATTTTATTCCTACTGGGTTTCCTTAAGGTGTCTAAGACTTGATTTGTCCCTGGATTAGCTGAGATGGGACATAGCTTCAAGGAGTAAAAGGTGACTATGAGGAGAAGAAGACCACACCAGATATCGCATGACACAGTTTTGCATGAAAAATGACTTGTTAATTGGAGATACCTTTTTTTAACAACATAAATGAGTATACATGTGGATCTCACCAGATGGAATACACAGGAATAAAGTCAACTACATCTGTGGAAAGAGACAATGGAGAAGCTCAACATCAACAGTCAGAACAAGGCCAGGGACTGAATGCAGAACAGAACATCAATTGTTCATATGCAAGTTTAAGTTCATACTGAAGAAAATTAAAACAAGTCCATGACAGCCAAAGAACAACCTTGAGTATGTCCCACTTGAATTTAGAGACCATCTCAACAATAGATTTGACACACTGAACGCTAATGACCGAAGACCAGACTAGTTGTGGGATGACAACAAGGACATCATACGTGAAAAAAGCAAAAATTTTATTAAAAAGACAGGAAAGAAAGAAAAGACAAAAATGAACATCAGAAGAGACTCTGAAACTTGCTTTTGAACATAGAGTAGCTAAAGCGAATGGAAAAAATGATAAAGTAAAAGAGTTGAACAGAATATTTTGAAGGGCAGTTCAAGAACACAAAGTAAAGTATTATAATGAAGTGTGTGAAGACCTGGATGGAGTTAGAAAACTAAAAGAGAAGAATACATTCCATATTTCTCAAGCTGAAAGAACTGAACAACAAAATTCAACCTCCAGTTGCAATATTGAAGGATTATATGGGCAAAATATTGAATGACTCAGGGAGCGTCAAAAGACGATGGAAGGAATACACAGAGTCACTGTACCAAAAAGATTTGGTCGATGTTCAACCGTTTCTGGAGGTTGCATATGATCAAGAACTGATGGTACTGAAGGAAAAAATTCAAGCTGCACTAAAGGCATTAGTGAAAAACAAAGCTCCAGGAATTGACAGAACGCCAGTTGAGAGGTTTCAACAAATGGATGCAGCACTCGAAGCACTCACTCGTCTATGCCAAGAAATTTGGAAGACAGCTACTTAGCTATATTTGTGCCCATTCCACAGAATGGTTATCTGAGGGAATATAGAAATTATCGAACAATTTCATTAATATCATATGCAAATAAAATTTTGCTGAAGATCATTCAAAAGCAGTTGCAGCAGTACATTGACTGGGAACTGCCAGAAGTTCAAACTGTATTCAGAAGAGGTCGTGGAACTAGGAATGTCATTGTGGATGTCAGATGGATCTTGGCTGAAATCAGAGAATACTAGAAGGATGTTTACCTTTGTTTTATTAACTACACAAAGGCATTTGTCTGTGTGGATCATAACAAATTATAAATAACACTGAGAAGAATAGAAATTCCAGAACATTTAATTGTGTTCATGTGGAACCTGTACATAGATCAAAAGACAGTTGTTCAAACAGAACAAGGTGATACTGCTTGGCTTAAAATCAGAAAAGGTATGTGTCAGGGTTGTATTCTTTCAGCTTACTTATTCAATCTGTATGCAGAGCAAACAATCCGAGAAGCTGGACTGTATGAAGAAGAACATGACATTAGGATTGAAGGAAGACTCATTAATAACCTGTGATATGCAGATGACACAACCTTCTTGCTGAAAGCAAAGAGGACTTGAAGCACCTATTGATGAAGATCATAGACTTCAGCCTTCAGCATGGCTTACTCCTCAAGATAAATAAAACAAAAATCCTCACAACTGGACCAATAAAAAAACATCATGATAAAGAGAGAAAATAAGGAAGTTGTCAAGGATTTCATTTACTTGGAACCACAGTCGACACCGGTGGAAGCAGCAGTCAGGAGATCAAATAATGTATTGCATTGGGCAAGTCTGCTGCTGAAGACCTCTTTAAAGTGTTAAAATGCAAAGATGTCACTTTGAGGACTAAGGCATGCCTGACCCAAGCCTCAGTGTTTTTGATCTCATATGCATGCGAAAGCCGGACAATGAATAAGAAGATCAAAGAAGAATTGATGCATTTGAAGTACGGTATTCGCCAAGAATATTGAATGTACCATGGACTGTCAGAAGAATGAACAAATCTGTCTTGGAAGAAGTACAGCCAGAATGCTCCTTAGAAGCAAGGAGGGTGAGTCTTTGTCTCACTTACTTTGGACATGTTATTAGGAGGGACCAGTCCCTGGAGAAGGACATCATGCTTCCTAAAGTAGACGGTCAGCAAAAAAGAGCAAGATCCTCAGTGAGATTGATTGACACAGTGGCTGCAACAATGGGCTGAAACATGGCATATGTGAGGATGGCATAGGATCAGGCAGCATTTCGTTCTGTTGTACTTGACAGCACCTAACAACAGCATGAAGAATAGGGGTCCCTGGGTGGCACAAATGGTTTGTAGCTTCAAATCCACCCATCGACACCACAGAAGAAAGGCTTGGCGATTTGCTTCTGTAAATATTATATCCAAGAAAACCTTATGAAGCAAAATTCTACTCTGTGACACATTGGGGTCACCATGAGTTGGAATTGATTCTAACCAATTTTTTTTTTTTTTTAAAGAAGAAGTAAAGCAGAATCACTCTGTTGTGGGAACTTGGATTTATATACCCAGAAAGAAGCATTATCTTCCCTTAGTCATTTCCCTACCCCTATTTATGTTCTCCAAGTGCGATAAAAGTTGAAGTTGCTCTACCCAAGCTCATATGTGCATATGAATAGGTGCCCCTGCACACATGAAATATCTCTTTAAAGAGCCTAGTATGAGGGTCAATGAGGCTAACGGTACCCAGTGACATTAATTTATGTTTTATTTTTTGCATCCTATAATCATTCTAGCTATACTCAAGTACTGTTGTAGGATAGGAGAGTGCATTTCTTGGTATATCCTTTTTCATTTAGAACCTCTAAATGAGAAATCCCGATTACTTATATTTCATTCAAGTTCTGTACAATGGTAGGCTATGATTTTAATGATAATTGGAGCTATTTCATTGCTTTCTGATTCATTATGGCAGCCCAAATTATGTTCATTATAGCTTTAGTATTAAGTGAATTTAATTGAATTATGAATCTCTGAACACTGATAATTGATTTTTATATATAGAAACTCTAAAGAGTCCAAAATATTACATTAATTTGAATATCCCATTTGCAAACTATTCTAAATATAAGCAATTTAATTGAATTTAGTGTTAGAACAAATTCATAAATCCACTGGAGCAAATGTATTCATCAGTATGCACTTTTTATTGTGTTAATGACAATGCTTCGCACATTATATTTGCAACATATTTTGATCTGAATTTATATCAAACCATAAGATTTTCTAAAACATAATAATGAATGCAAAAAATATTTGAGCAATTTTGAAGAGATATTAAATGGTAAATTCCTAATGTTAATGGATGCTCTTCCAAATGGAAATCACATGGTCTTCTTTCTTTGACTCATGAAAGATCATAGATACAGGTCAAATCTCATTTCAGATTTTGTTATCAATGGTTCCTTGATAACTTAATCACAGGGTATTTTTTTTTTTTATGAAAACACCCACTAAAAGCAGTTGTTTTTAAGGTAAATAGATGCTTTGGTTTTTTCTGTTGTTGTTTTGTTTTTTATATCTTACAAGTTTATGACTACTTTCCTGTTTTATTGGCAGAATTTTTCCGAGAGCTCCTGGAGAATGCTGAAAAGTCACTCAATGATATGTTTGTACGGACCTATGGAATGCTGTACATGCAGAACTCAGAAGTGTTCCAGGACCTCTTCACGGAGCTTAAAAGGTACTACACGGGGGGCAATGTGAACCTGGAGGAGATGCTAAATGACTTTTGGGCTCGGCTTCTGGAACGGATGTTTCAGCTGATAAATCCACAGTATCACTTCAGCGAGGACTACTTGGAATGTGTGAGCAAATACACTGACCAGCTGAAGCCATTTGGAGATGTGCCCCGGAAATTGAAGATTCAGGTCACCCGTGCTTTCATCGCTGCCCGAACATTTGTCCAAGGACTGACTGTGGGCAGAGAAGTTGCAAATCGAGTTTCCAAGGTAATTGCAAAGCTGCTGTCTTTTTAATTGGTCTTCTTCTTTTATTCTTTTTTTAAAACAAACACTGAAAAAGATCAAGGTAAAAGTTCCGATTTACAGTGGTTTTTGCTTTTAGAGAGATCAGGTAAATGTCAAAGCTTAATTTTGGTTTTTTTTTCCCCTTGCTTTGTGTGAGAGAAGACAAGATTTCAAGCAGTTCTGTGTCGTTAATATGATGTAAATATTTATCCCCAGTATAGCAAAGAAGACTTTATTAGGACTAGTGACAAAAACAGGTGCTTTGGCAACCATAATCACTTGGCATTTCTGATCTGAGTTTTAGGGATGATAAATATTTAATGAACCAGTCCATTCGTGGTTATAATCTTCCAGGATGTCACAAGGTGACAGTCTTCGTTGGTCCTGCAAGTGGAGACAAGTTGTTCTTCAAAACACCAGCACCTGGCATTCCCTCTTCTTTATCACACTTGTCAAAGTGGCCAGGTTCCTTAACAGTGAGGGAAGAACCCTCTGCTGACACCTGTAGAACTGGATTAGGGAGGACTAATGAATACAAAGTATAGATTCTGGCAGAGAATTCCTTTTGTTATCCATTATCTTTGCAATTCAATGCCATGTATTGCAGTGGGCTTATGAGAAAAATAAATCACTGATATACTTTTGTACCTTTCCTTGAGGATGATGTCTTTAAACCTTTAATGCAAGAGACCTTTCTGCATTGCTGTTTTTAAACATTGACTGTTTCCTGTGTCGGGGTTATCTGCCTTTGCTTAAGTTCTTCTGTGACATTTAACTGCTGTTATGAGGTAGGCCTGCCCATTTTTGAGATCAGGCCAACAAATAAACTGAAAGATGATTACTTGAAGAGGTAAGGTAAAAACAAAACATACCAGGAATCTGGTATTATGTCACCCAAAGAAGGTCATATTTGAACAAAGATTATTACCAAACACAACTTTTCTATTGCGAGACAGCGCCAAATAACACACAGTACTTTTTCCAGTTATTGGTACCATTCTGCGATGTTTTTTTATTTTTCCACATTAATCTTCTAAATATTTACATCTTGGCCTAAACATCGTGTTTATCCTTAAAAATGTTCTTCTATGACACTATTTGTAAAATACATAGGAATCAGTTTCCAATTATCCATTCCTAACAATTTTATTTAAGCATATGGAAAGGTTATTTGCAGTAAGGCTCGAAAGGGGACAATTACGAGGAGCTTAATAATATTAAATGCATTCAACTCTGATGTTAAAAACAATGATTTTCTATTGAAGATAAACAATGAAATGAATTAAGAAGGAATTGGCCAGATGGAATAACAAGAGGACATGTGATTGTCTGAGGAAAGTCTGTAAAATGTTAATAAGTATAAACTCTACATGGATTCCATATTTTTTTAGTAAATAGATTCCATAAAAAAAAAAAAAAGGAGTAAGACATTTAGTCGCAAGGGCTTCAAATTGAAGCCTTTGCTTTTGTTGAAGAATGAAGCATGAAGTCAGCTTGTAAGAAGCATGAAGTAAGAAACTTAAAGTGTACTGATAAATGCAACTTAAGAATCTTGATTATTTATATTTTATTTTGCTTAAGATTGAATATTATTAAGATGAGTGTATTGTAATCCGAGAAGTTCCAGTGAGATAAGAGAATATTTTCTAGCGAAACGTCTAGTAGGCCGCATTGGAAGTTGTCACTCTGCCTTTCTCTCTTGTTTCTCAGAGGACAGAAGTAACAGCTCCGTGGAGATGGTGCCCCCTCCATCATTCCCTGTCTCATTCTGAGGTCTTTGTCCCTCAAATTTAACATGCTACTCTTCATGGTCAAGGTTGACATGGACCAACCATACTACAGTATGACCTTGAATTTTTTTTTTTTTTCAGAAGTGGTTTAGGATATACTCTGCCCCACCATAATTTCTCTTACTGTGGCCCCCTCATTTGAAAGGTAGCTGATGTGCATTTGGGATGTAGTTTGTGGTCATAAAATCATGGAAAGCTAATTGTTCTACATGGATATTGTCTTGTCTGACCTGAGCATCATTAACCCAAATCAACTCATCAGCCCCATACTGACATCTGCATATAGCTTTTATATGTATATGTATGTATGTATATACATATATACATATAACTGGTGGAAGTGTGTATGTGTATGTGTACACACATGCGCACAAAGCCTTGGTTTAAATGAAGCTCAGCAACTTTTTCTCGAATAATTTATGACTCAGGGATTTAAGCATTATACCAATAAACTCTGTAACCTAATGATTACCAGATGGTCTGCAGCTGACTAAACCAAAAATGGACCTGTTTGTCCTACAATGATTTCAGCACCCAAAATATTTTCTGTAATAAGAATAAAATATTACAAGGACTAAATATATTAAGAGGAGAAGCAAGAATTGTGTTTGAGGCTTAAGCCCTGCTCATAAATCTAAAGCCTCTCTGTAGTGTATTGATTGAGTGATTTCGAGTTGGTGAAATGATGGCCAAATCTTAGAGAATTCAAGGCAAACTTCCAAAATGGAGATAATAACCTAGCTTATCTTTTGCATCTTCGTTTGAAGTTTTTTTGTTTTTTCTCCTCCTTCTTTTTTTCTGTTCACTAACAGTGATTTAAATCTTGGAAAGCATAAGTAATACCTTCTAATTAATTGTTTTGATGAGAAACTTTACCTCTTTAGCAAAACACAGCAGTTTGACACAAATGTTTTGACACATTATAGAGAATTTTCTTACTAGAAAAATTGAGGACTAATGTGTAAGCATCAGCATAATTCTTTTTAAAACTTATGTTTGCCATGTTATAAATATAAACATTTTTTTCTAGCTTTTGGTTGAGTAAGTTAATTTTCATTAACAATAGCTGACTCTTAATTAACAAAAGCTGACTCTTAAGAAACATTTATATGGTTCTGGCGTGAATATTTGTGGCCAGTTATCTAGGATTTATTTTCTGTGTGAATGAGTATTTTTGAGACTTCCAGGTTTTGACAAGATGTGGAGTATCAGACCCTCTTATACTTTGTTAATAGAAGTGTAAATTGATGCGTTCACTTTGAATAGCAATTTGGAAGTATCTAGGTTGTTGAAGACATGCAAATCCAAAAACTCTACGATTCCACCGCTGGATAAACTGTGTACCAGTAAACATATCAGAGAATGTTCATAGCAGTATTCTTTACAATATCATAAAAAGAAATGTCCCAAATGTCCACTTAAATAAATGGCTACCTCTTTATACCAGGAAATCCTATGAAGCAGTGAAAATAAGTGAACTAGCACCACACTTGTGAGGGAACCACAGAAACCTAATTTTGAGAGAACATAATAAAATCAAAAAGAATTCATTCTATTTATATAAAGTTCAGAAATATGGGAAACTAAGCAATATCTTATTAAAACTATGCAGAAAAATCCAAGAAATGATACACACAAAAATCAGAATGTGGTTGCCTCCGGGGGTAGAGTTTATGGATATGATTAAGGAGTGATAGATACCCAGGGATTTCCAAAGTTATTGATAGCATTCATTTCTTAAGCTAAGCGCTGTGTACATGTGTGTGTGTGTGTGTATGCATGTATGCGTTTATTATAAGACACTTTTAATAAAAGAGATTAAGTTGAGGACTTTACCATTGCTGACCTGTGATTCTTTTCATCTATGTAGCTAAGATCACCCCTGTGAGCTACCCTCAGTTTGCAGTTACTGCTGTTTATGGATTTACCAGAGTGAATTCTTCCAACTCTCATCACTGCTAACCAAACACCATCCATGCTCCGTACGTGTGCTAAATGATATGGGGTAGTAGTAGATATAGTATAGTGGTCTTTGAGAGAAAGGATCCAGACTCTTTTTTAATATCTCCCCTTCCTGAAAACCCCACCTTTGCACCCTTTTGTGCACTCAATGCTGAAAGGAAACATGGACGCCAGCAGTCACTCTGAAGGCTTAGCAGACATTGTGAAGAACGCGGAAGGAGGGCTACATAAAAAACCGTTAGCTAGTTGTTTGCTTAGAAAAGCTTCAATTATTCCTCATGGAGGTAAATATGGAAGTGACTCTAGTGGCTTGAGTCCCTCCATCATGATACCATTTACACAAACAAGGTATGACTTTCATATCTTTCTGCTTTAGTAAAAGTGACTTCTATGAGTACAGCTGTAAGTTTTGTCAATAGCAACCACTTTAACTATATAAGTCATTTTCATTGATTCCTTCTGTACGTTATTAGGTAGGTAGTGAAGCTGGGGATCCATAGAACTTGAACTATTTCCAAATATTGTCATGTATCGATCTACCTCTATCTCTCTATCTATCTCACTATTTAAAATCTCCTCTGTGGTTGACTTTGAAAAGAAAGCCTGACTTTTAGTCTTCAGTAAGATCAGAGTATTTCCATCAACAGATAGGAGCTGATGTCTTCTGTGCAGATGAGGGTTTGTGCATAAAGAGCCTCTTAACTGGCTCATCTACCTTAGTAAACAGCCTTGCATTAGCGATGTGTGCCTAGAAAGCAATAAACAGAATCAATTTTCAATAAATGTGGTTGATGAACTATAAAGCTGAAAAAATTTATCATCAAATTTCACGAAATGAAGGCTATGAAATGCATGCATTTAAAGCATTCTCTGACCACAATGGAAAAGCATTCTGAAGAATTTACCATGAATACAGTTTACAAGACAGATGGTATTTAATTTAATTGTTTGGGGGAAAGAATTTAAGATATAAAGTATGATCACCTATTGTATTTATCACCTGAGTTATTGGTTTTGTTCCTTCTGTGGTGTATTTTAATTGGAGTTAATTTTTGTAGCATGATCCAAAAAGGAAAAAGACCACAAAAAGACCTTAGGTGAATGAAACATTTTCATAGTTTTTTCTGTGGTCAGTGTATTCTGCTCTGTAATTGATGAGTATTCAATGCAGATTACTTTAATAATATACAGTGTTAGGAAGAAGAGGTAAGCCTTTTGAAATTATCAGTAATGCTTCCATG